TTGGATGCAAGGTTTCCATCTCTGGGTTTCCTCCCTGTGGCTAAAAGTCCATTGTCAGGTGAATGGACAGTGTCCCCCAGAGTGTTTGCTTGATATGTGTCCTTGGTGTTCTGATTAACTTCAAGACCCTGCAGGGTGTTTCTTTTCTTTAGTAACTGGTGGTCAGTTAACACACTTCAGTCAATGTTTGGTGTCGACTTTCCTTGAGCGGAGGATTTGTTGGGGATTTGGAGCAGGCTAACTGGGAGAGGGCTGCATTTCCCCATGTGTGGGACAGGGGTGCTTGGGCCCTGGTCTGTCACTGACAGGCATGGTGGTAGTGGAGCTTCTGTGACTGGTCACACCAGAAGGCGCTACCTTCAGGGAGATCCCTTGGTTCTCAGAGAACCGGAGGAACCCTGTTAGCTCACACATTACAATGTCCTAATTAAGAAATTTCTACAAATCAACAATTTCAACAAAATCAAAGTAAAGACGATGTGTAAGACTTTAAATCATTAAAAGTTTAAATGCTAAAATTTTGTCTATTGAGCTCCGAACATTGGTTTTACAGAGCTCCTTCTTTGTTTTTTTTTGTTTTTTTGCTGCATCCTCAGCTTATTGAGCATATTTCTCTTGAAGATTATGCTTTAAAATTATGAATTGCAAATGATTTGCTTTCAACCAAAGGAGTCACCTTTAAATTGACTAACCGATATGTAAAGGTTTGGTAACATTAGATACGGACTAGAAAAACAATTGGAGCAATACATCATATACCTTAGACTTTCTAGAACTTTCTGGGTTACTACCCTGAACTTATGCAGAACTTTAAGGTTACTTTCTCTGAATTCTCAGGTTTTTTTCCCAGAATTTATAGATTTCTTTCTGGGACTCTGATTGGAATTATCCAGTTAGTTTAACATAACTTACAGGCTACTTTTCCAGAACCTACATGTTACCCTTCATAAACTTCCTGGAACTTTCAAGTAATTAATTGAATGGTAACTTGGAGCAAGTCGCATACTAGAATACAGCTTGGCCCCCAAAAGTCACTTGTAAGTTTTGGAAGAGCATCTCCGAGTTCCTAACTGCAAATCCCCACATTTGAAAAACGGAATAAATACATTTTTGCGTGTTTCAATAAAAAAAAAAGAAAATTCAAAATATAAAACGGAAAACAAAGTTAATGTATAAAATTAGCTCAAAGGAATAAATTATTATATACAAGTATTAGAGGTAAATGTTTCTTGCTAAATATATATTTGACAACAAATATTTAAACTCAGAAATTGTACCAAATTATGAATAAAATGTGTTTACATAGATTTCTGGGTATAGTGCTGCCTCGTCCACCCAGAGACCTTCACCTGATGTTATTTCTAGTCTTATAATTATGAAAGCAACATAATGCCATCCAAATCCCATCAGTACAGCTCTTGTCTTCTCACAGCAGCTTTGTTTCATGACCTCATCTTTTTGCTTTGCTTTTATTTTTGTTTTATGTCCCATCATCTGTGTTCATGTTACTATGACTGTGCACCGCTGGTTGCTCGACACCATGGCAAATCGTAACCCTAAACTAGATGTACCACCCTGGAAGGCGTGAGCTCTGATGCTCCGCGGCCAATAAAGAAGGTGGAGTCCAGCCGGGAGGGCTCCAGGTGTACCAGCCCCTCGGGTCCGCTGCAGGTAGGAGCTGGGGGGCAACGAAATCAGCCGGGTGCAACTGTTTCACTGATTCCAGGTCACTTTTAATGATTTTTCTGTAAATCCAGCTATGTTATCAGGTCTGACATATATGAAGTCCCAGTTTTACAGTTAGTTTTGCACAATAAAAAGAACCAAGAAAACATTGTGTGAGCTTCTCCTGGGGTGCTTTGGGACAGCTTGGTTCCTAATGGCCTTTTGTGGGTGGGACAGAGCAAAGACCAGCTTTCATTAGCAGCCCTGGGATTTTTATTCTAAAAGCGAAAAACAACCAACCATAAATGCTGTCAACACAATGTTGAAAACTTTCTTCATTCTGTTGTTGAATTGGCAAAACAATGTAGTTTCATGATATTTTGGACCATGATACTATCCTTGCCATCTGTTACGTTTTTATGTAGAAATCTAACTGATAATTTTAGAAGTACTAAGAATGCACCGCCCACATATATAACAATTTTCTCTTAATTTGCAGGTCAAATCCTGAAAATTCAGCTTTTTGTGTTTCTGTGCATTAAACCCATCAAAACTAAGAACACCGAACATTTCGGGTTTATCAGTGAATCGACCAACAGCATTGACCTTGAGGCTGTTTTTTGGGTTTAATACAGAGACAGGTTATAGGTGCATATGTTTTGATGCATAAATGGGAATAATTGGTCGGTAAATGTTTTGGGTGATTTTTTTTTTTTTTTTTTTCATCAGGAACCAGTAATAAAAAGACAAAAACCAAGTCGATATTTCATTTTCATTTTGAAATAAAAAATATTAACATTTTTCTTAATTTTTTGTGGTTAAAAACAGATTAGTTAAAACTTTAAATTTGGTTTATTTTCCTTTTCATGTTTAAATGAAGAAAAACATCACCAGCAGAGATGCTGGTTTTATTGGTCCTAAACATGAAATTATTTGACTTGAACTATTTGCATTATTATTTATTATCTGACACAAATCAGTCATTGGTCACAGTATTCTGAGCTCACCCTCCTAGACCAAACCAAGCTACAAAATAACCATCACCATTATCTACACCCAGCTATCCATGCAGGTCACAGGGCGGCTGGCGTCTGTCTCCAGCGCTCGAGAGGTGGGGTACACCCTGGACAAGTCCGTCCATCACAGGGCAACACAGAGACACACAGGACAAATAAACGACCACAAACAGTTCGCCACTAGGAGCAATTTGAAGACCCCAGTTAGACAAACATTAAACGTTCTGGACTGTTGGTGGAACCCCTGCATGCACAGGGAGAACATGCAAACTCCATGCAGAAAGACCCCAGGTTGGGATTCGAACCCATGACCTTCTTGCTGTAGGACAACACTGCCAACAACTATGCAGCCAAAAATCAAATAATAATGATTAAAAATGCAGAAATAAATGAAGAATAATCAAGAATGAATAAGGAATATAACATATACTGTATATAGAAGGTGTTATCCCACATGGCTGATGTCAAACACCAACTCCTACCACGAAGGATGGATGAAGCGCAACCTAATGTGTGAAAGGTTTCAGAAAGATAAACAGGCCAATCATTCATTATAAAACACTGTTTTTATTATTTTAAATTTCTTGTCATCCCATTTTGTATTTTAAGACTAAAAATTAAGTAACCTCTTGGTTTTGTTTAGTATTTCAAAACCTGCACAGAATAAAATCCTGTAACCCCCTTCATTTTCTGTTGGATTCAAAACTACGACCTCTATCAAGATAAACTGCAAGTTTTTTTTGTTATACAAAAAATCTATACATATATGTAAATTGAAGGGGAAAGAAAATTTATTGGCCAAAATCGAAATCTACAGTTTATAGAATTTCCAGAGAAAATCAGACATTGGTATGAATGATCGGTGCATCTCTAAAGGTTACACACATTTTGGGAAATTGGTGAGTTTTACTCAATTTGCTCCAACGTGACTTTCTCATTAGACTTATTATTTGTGTTGACTTTAATTGAAGCCCAATTAGTTGCAGTGTTCCTGTGTTTTAGCTTCACATCTCGCTGACTAATCAACAGTTCAGCCTAGGAAACCACACTAAGCAGTTTAACAGAAATCACAGATCATATTGTAGGCTAAAGGAGTGTTGGTGCTCCTCATCATAATGTTCCTGTTTTTTAATTTGCTTCAGATTGTCTGAATGGATGAATCCCTCTTACCGATTCTCCTTTCTCTCCTGCGTTCTGTCTTGTGCTTTAGGGCCCGGTGATATACGTCCAGTTGGATCACTCAGGCAGTAAAAACTCGTTCCATAAGATGGAGCCCGTGGTCTACGCTGACATCCGTAAAAACTGAAGATGGGGACCAAACAGTAAAAAAAACAAACAAAAAAACATAAGAAAACATAGTAAAGTATGAGACCTCTCTATTAGCTGCTTTGGGAAGGGTGGGAAAAGTTTAACAGGGACAGAATTGGTGCAGTTTCTCTCTATTCTCTTCTTTCCCCACATTTTGTGCCCTGACAGCATGTTATATGATAAAGTAACGTCTCCATGTGCTTTGTTGTGAATTAAAAAAAAGGTAAGAAATCAATCCAGTTGACACTACATCACGTCAGCCTTTTATTAAACAGTTTTCCAACGCAGGGATCAAGGTGAAAATGGCGCCCTCATTGACATCATTCCAGGTGTAAATTATTTTATTTCAACCCTTGTATTGTTGTGCCCCCATAGCCTCACACATGCCCGACATATTACAGATATGCAGGCTGTTGCACCAACTCAACCAAACTCTTAAGACTTCAATGTCTTAAGAAATGAAAGGAATGCATAAATGTCAGTTTAATCAAAGCGAAGTTTACTTTTGATCAAAGAAAGTAAGGTACCTGAAAACATTAAAACAACTGATTATGAGCAGTCTGTATAATAACCAGCCTCTTACTGACTGAATCTCAGTAATGACATCAGAACCTCGAAGGACACATTTTATTTTATGGAAAAGGTTGTATGCATTCATCCGAGAGGCTGAACGTGAGAGTTGTACGTGAGCCGTAAAATACTCGCTTACGCAGCAGGAAAGACCTCACAGTTTCTGTTCTTAGCAGGTTTCCAATAAACGGTCAAATAAAGGTATACATATCATCTTCTTAATGTGTACCTAAAACATCTTTGCTTGTGGAGCCAGATAGCCCTACCACCTGCATGACCAAATGGATGGAAATACATCTACATCTGGGCCTGACCATGTGAAAAATGGGAGTATTTACCTCAAAATGTGAGTTAGATATTTTTTCGGCATTAGTGGCCTTTATTTTTTGACAGTAGGCAGACAGGAAAGAGGGGTAGAGAGAGGGGGAGACATTTGGCAAATGTCGCCGGGTCTGGGACTCGAACCCAGGACAGCAGCTTCCAGGACTGCAGCCTCTGTATTTGGTCGCGCGCTAACCCCTACACCATCAGCGCCGTGTCCCAAAATGTGAGTTCTAACCTGCTGTTTGCGTCCATGCTGGGGAAATAGAGCATCTGTTATATTTCTGTAATGTAGAAGAAGGGCAAAACAACACCGAAAAACAAGAGTGTGAGTTTAAGTTAAAAAATACTCAAAGGTTATTTTTTCAGCAGGTCCAATAAACAGAGCAGACGTGGCTGCCTGGCTGGGGCAAGCGGCTGCCCGGTACTGGTACGCTCATTCAACGCACGGAGCTGCCGTTTTTAATGGCATCTTCTTCAGGGAGTGGGGGGAAAAAACTCTTCGTAAATAAGAGACAAGAGCCCCTTTTCCACCAAAGGGATTTAAAGCCCCAGGATTTGTTTTACCCAGGTAAAAGGAATCCTGGTATTTGGGTACGTTCTGTTTCCACTGCTCAGAAAGGCCATGAACCATTTTTTCAAATCAACCTAATGACCTATGGGGAAGTTGTGAAGAAAACTGCAATACACCTTCACTCCAGCAGATGGCATTACTTCTTCACTCCCTTTAAAAGACTCTTGGCTAATAAATACTAGATGAGCAGCTTTATGCAGTAGATTAATTCCTTCCATTATTCCTTAGGTTGCACTGGAGCCATAAGCAGGAAAAGTTAGAATTATTATTTTACATAAGATGTTTTTACCAACCTGCCTCAGGCCATTTTTGCTGCTTTACAATACATGCATGATTCATTTACAATAACTACTAAACACTGATGAACACATTTTTCTTTTACTATTATAATCATCAGACAAACTAAAGTAGATGCTCCGTAGACAGTGGAGTAAAAGATGGCAGGACACCAGGGTGAAGAGGATCCCTGGGAGCTTCTAGGAAACTGCATCCAAACCTGGAACTGTGGTCTCTCCTGCAGAACTGTCTGCATAAAATTGCGAAAAAGCGGTTAGTGGGGAAGTCCCAGTCCTACCACCTGGCTAACTTAGCTTAGCAGCCAGACCAGCCTGTAAGCAGAGCTCTGCTGTTCTAAAGAAGAGATCCAAAACAATATTTCAATGTAGGCTCTAATCTTGATGAAAAGACTACACAGATGAACATTTGAGGTCTACTTTCTCGCTTAAAAAGATCTTACTTTACGTGAAAAATTAACGATATAAAAAAAGATAGATTTGTATTCTCACCGCTGCTAGTGTTGCAATGCAACTGCTGCACACAACCTTTAACAATCCCAGGGAAATCTGGAAAGACCTACTCCAGACCAAGACCAGTAAGGCCCCAGCGACGTGAAATTACCTGGGTAAATTTGGATCGAAACGCACCCTGGTCTTTCAAAAGCCCGACGCTTTCCACAAGAAATGGAAAAAGGGCTATTGATGCGTTTCATCAGAAATCAGCGACACCTTATGACCTCTTAAAGGAGTGTCCCATTTAACTAGGAAATGTTTGACTCTTCTTGAATTATGTGCTGACAGATGGGGGAGGCGAGGAAAGAGGCATTCAGCCAAATATGCTCCGATTCTTATATGAAAATCAGGTTCTGATCCTCATTTAAGATCCTGACGTTGCGGTGCTTTTAGTCGACAGTGTTTACTCTGATGAAATGCAGGCGCTGTTGAACTTATAAAGTGAAGAAGGTTTTATATACAGAAAATAAAGATGTGATGTAAATATATAACACCATCTGTGCTTTCTCTGGAGCCTTGTTTAGATGAGCTTCATTATTTATGCCTATGTGATGGTGCATCTGTGTCAGACCACAGTTTGGCTCCCTGGAGCTAACAGTGATTAGAACGAACTGTGGTGTTTTATGCTAATAAATGTCAAACAAGGCACTTTTAACAACATTACACAGAGAAGTGATGAGATGTGAGAGGAGTCTAAACCTACAGAAAAAATCGTAAAAATTCAGCTGCACCACCTTTTTATAAAGGTTTCACTCCACCCTACATGTTTCAAACACACACGTCAGTTTTTTGTTTGTCTTTAGTTTGCATATCAGACTTCAGTTTTCTTTATCTGCTGGTGGCTTAGAGGTGGAGCACTTCACCCTCCCTCACAAACTAAACAAGACGGTGAGAATAAACAGATTCATCCAAACCGAAAACCTGAACAGATGTTTGGCTGCAACGTACAGTTTTCAGGTGCTGCGACACTTAAAAATATTAGCCTACCAAAACATGCAACCAAGCAGTTGTTTTGACATTGGAACAATTGTGATCACAGCTTGTGGGTAAAATAACTCTAAAGTAGCCTTTCTGGTGCTGGTGCAACAGTCTGCAGAAGCCACAGTTGATCTCCATCATGGGCAACTCCATTGTGATCTTGTTTGTAGAGGCATATAATGATGTAAAGTTAGATATTGGTGCGCGGTAACATTGCATGCAGTTATAGTAACATCTACGAAGTGAAGTTGGTCGGCTCACCCAGCTAGTTTTTTGCGCAGAAGAAGCCGCCTGACGTCTTGTTACTGTGAATGCTTCAGCTCTCTGTGAAGTTCTGGCATGCTGTTCTGGTACCTTTTTTAAAATAAAACATATACTCCCTTTTTGGATTTTCACCTCAGTGGAACAGCAGATTAAAAATCAAGAATTCTGAGTTTAATTTAATATGAATTGTTGGGGGGTCTTTGTTATTTAGCTTCATGTTTTTCCTTTGATTTTTAAGCTACGCACGTTAATAAATGTTCAGCTGAGGTGAATTTTTCTCTTTTTATAAAAACTGGGAGATGTTATTTTTCCGTAACAAAACAACTTCTAAATACACTGTTTGCATGCAATTTACAAAAAAAAACAAGCATTTTTCCAAATGTCTTTTTTTTTCTGTATGTATCATGTTTTTCCTCATTAATGGGCCAAATATGAACGGTTTTACTTTGCAGATAATGTTAAGCTTTAAATGCATTCCAAATTTTTATTTCCTTGTCTTAACATATTTTAAAGCCAAGTTTGTTTTATAATTGTGTTTTTTTTTGTTTTGTTGTGCAACCAGTGCAACCAGTCTGAAAGCCATCAGCTCATAATCCAGAATGCAGTAAATGTCCACAAATGTGTTTGTTTATATAAGTTTGCTCACCAGTTGAAAATGTAGTGCTGTTTACTGTAACTCATTCCGGTGTGGTGCGCCTGTGGGTGTCTTTCCAGAAGGACAATAGTTAGCTGAAAGATGTTGATTTCTTTGTTTTCTCTTAAAGTCTTAAGTCTTTGTAACCAGACACTCAAACATACGCAGTGCCTGCATAAAGATTGCATCTGAATGCTTCAAAATGGCCAGAATGAAAGATTGCTTCATTCAAACTTTTTACTCCATTGAAGACAAACTCATACATCTGTACTTGTAACTTAAGGCTTTGTTTATGAAGGTTTAATAAAAGAAATATTTATTAGAGAAAATGCAGAGCCGCCTGTTGCTATAGTGATTTCTCCCTTTTTTAGTGGGTGAGAGCCGTCCTCAGCCACCAACCAAAAAAAGGAGGAATACACGTGTCGCTATGGTGATTCCCACCTTTTTTTGGCTATGTATTTAAACCTCAAAAAGACAGTCCTTGAGTAATTTAACAAAATGACATGGTGCCTTTAGCTGTGGGAGACACATCGGGTGAAAATAGAGAAAAATACCTTGATTTTGATGAAGAAACTGTACATGTAGAGATCTCACTATGTGCATGAAAGTTTTTAAATTCCCAAAAGTTTCTGAATATTTCTCAGGGTTAAACCTTGGCGCATGTGATTTCACACTCCAAGCCTAACATTCCGTCCTAAAATCTTAAAAAATTAAATCCTGAAATTGAAACTGTGATTGTATCAAAGCCATAGAAGGTTAAAAAAATACAATTTCAGTCATTTAAATTCCAACTTTTCTTGATCTGTTCTGACTTTGGTTGGTGTTTCTGCTCTAATACGTGACTGGGCAGTGAAGCTCCAAAAAGGGCTGGGTTTTCTCCTTTCACTAAAATCCCATTTTGTTGAAAGGAGAAATTTCTTCTTTTTTTTTTTTTTTTTATAACACTACCAAACAACAGTGGTCAGTAATCTGGCCTCTCTTCCATTTTATTTAGTTTGGTGGTGCGGAGATACACTAACTTTACAGAACTAGCTCCTAATCCTAACTTTGTCCATTTTGACCCCAAACAATGCAGGCGCTGTGTACTCTTCCTCTTAACCTGGTTCTTGTTTTGTTTTCCGTTGCCGCTCAGCAGCATGCATGTCAGCCTACCGACTAACCAACAGGAAAAGGAACAACTATTAAGATACTGACAAACCCTTAACTGCTGGTCGCTTTGTCTCTAATTGTGACTTTTTGCAGTGTTTAGTGATGTTGTAAAAATTGTGATGTAAAGTATAAATTATGAAAGATTCCCGAACCGGCTGAGCTCATGTACGCTGGGAGGGTTTCGCTCTTTGGGACGACGAGTCTTAAAGAGCGCGTTCGGTGTTTCTTGATGGTTACATAGTTGTGTGTTATTTACGAATTGTTTGGTATGTTGTTTAAAATCTGCACTATGTCTTGCATAACAAAGACAACGAATGGCCTGTGATTATTGTTGTTTGTTTTTGTTCCTCTGAATGACCATGGCCTCTGTTTAATGTCTTTAAAACTGGAATGTTGTACATTTAGTGCCTTTTACATTTCATCAGCTAACTTGAACATCTGCTTAAAAATAGAAAATATAGGATTCATTTATTTTCCTTTTATTGGATGTATTTTTTATACACATATCACCTCTGTATCCACTGTTCAAATTTTATATAAAACCTACTCCCGGCCAATAAACCACGTTTGTGCTCTAGTTATTTCGCTCATCTAATCGCTGGCTCTTAAGAAACCCTGAACATGTTTGACTTGATCGTTTTTAACACTTTTACTCTCCCAAACAAATAAAAAAAGTCACATTGAGTAAAAATATAAGTGTAAATATAAACATCAGATGTTTTCAGTAACAATAGATTTTTTATTTTAACCAGAAGGAAAGAAAACTTGATTGATTTAAAGATTCGGAAGTTGAGTTGGTCCTAATTCGGCATGTTTTTCTACTTTGG